TTAACTTAAGCCCGATTTATCACCTAATTTTCCGGGCTCTTATGCCAGACTGAATCATAAAAGACCCACAGCGGCGAAAAATCGCAGATCCACCAATGGTTATTGGTGTGTTTATCAACACGGACATCTACCCCTTTTCTTTACTTCATAACTTCGGGTATCGAACTCGGTTTTTCTTATCGCAGAGAAACGAGATAAGGTGGAAGCGGCTTGGAGAGAAAAGAGGGGTTACCTCCTCCACTGTCCAAAGGCATTAAAAGCAGGGAGCAACCGGGAATTTCCCCTCATGCCTCAGAGAAGGCACGCCGAGGGTCACGCTCCCGGCCCCAGCGTGGCGACGGCTTCCGGTTCTTCGCATCCTCTTCGCCCGTGTCCGTCCTTCCTTCCTTCCGTCTCGTCTCGTCTCCTCCTCAGCAATTCCGCAATATGGTCTTAAGAAAGCCAGGCAGCCAAACGCCGTCGAACAGCACTGCTAGGAAAAGAAAGAAAGAAAGAAAGAGTATGGGAGGGGGGAATAGACTCTCCGAGCGTCCTCCCGAACATGGTGGGTGATATAGCGGCACGCCCCCAACCCCCCCGCCGACCAATCGGTAGCTGACTTCCCACCAATGACAGCTCCGGCGCCCTTCGGCTTTTCGGAAAAGTAACGTTACAGAGACACACTACAGAAACGCGGCAGCGGCAAAATAGAAAAGGAAGAAAGGGAGGGGGGGGTGTTGGGCCAGGGGTTTTGTGTGTGTGTGATTATTTCCAAACAGGCTGCCTTCCTTATTATTCATGAATTACTTCATCACTTTCTGGCCAGCGCGGTAACAATGACAAATCCACCCCTAAGGGCGAATGTCGAAATCCAGGACTTTCCGCCTCACAAATCAAGTGAAAAGGAGCAGCCCTCAGAGCCAATGGTTCTCCGGGATCTGAAAAGGGCATTAAAGTGGAAATGCAATTTGATTGCTATGTAAGGTCTGTGTTTACATAGAAGCTTCCGATCTAAACTAATATTGCAATAAAATCACAGCACAGCACTGCAAAAGATGTACAATTAATGAAGAAAATAAATGATAAACTAGCTGGGGTCAGAAATTCCGAGGGTTTTGGGTTGTTTTATTTTTTATTTTTTCCAATCTGTTAAAAAGAGCAGCATATATTATTTAATTTGCTTTGGCCTCACTCAATAGGATTGTAAGTAACTACTGTAATGGTCAATTTAAAAGTCAATAACATACTTTTTAAAAATTTGAGACAACATTCCACACTCAGAGCATGCCTTCAAAAACATACAACCATAAACAGCAAGATTTATCCAATAGCCTAGTCTCAATGCTGAGGCAAGAACAAAGTCCTCAATGTATTATGAAAAACCAGCAGGGTGAGGGCTGTCTTGAATCTAGGGCAAGCCTGGTGACAGAGAAGGCTGGTTCCCATTAGAAGATCTTGTTTAATAGAGAGAACCTGGAGCCTACCAGATCTTGTAGGATAAACAGAAATGGCTGCAGACAGGCAAACTTAGATAACCTCTATGCCACAGAGAGTTTTTAGGTGACAATTAGCACCTTGAATAGCACTTAAAAGACCACTGGGAGCGAGAGGAGCTCACAAATAAAATGGGTATACCAGTACACATTTGTAACTACTCACACCACTACAACTTCTAAATTGTCTTCAAGGCCAGCCTATATAAAGCACATTGCAAAAAATCAGATGGGAGTGACTGAAGCATGGATGAGAATAAGTAGAGCCTACTTATCTAGGAATTGGCATGTAAGGTAAGGCCTCCTATTCATAGATGCTCCTCAAACAATAACTGAAAGACTAGGAGCATCCCCATTTTGGGTACTACCTTTCACCTGGGAAGTGCTATCCCACTGAGAAACAAAGATATTAAATCCTTCGCTCTCTCAGGATCCATGAGAACATCCATATGCTTTTCTTATTTGCATAAGACAAACAGGTATGGTGAAGTTATGGTTCAAATAACATCTGTCCACTGAATCTTGTTTTATTTAACCAAGCTTTCTGAATGCACACAACACTCAGAACCATAATCTAACTGTAAAATGAGATATTGCACAACTTATTCAAGATGATTGGATAGATTGTGATTCAGTGTATTAGGCAAATATAGTCAGTCCAAAAACTGTAGTGTAGTCATTTTCAAGACAATCCTCCATTTGGAGCATCCAAAATTTATTACTGGATAGCCAGCATAACTATGGATTACTGTATGTAACTTTCAGATTATCTGAAATTAGAGGAGAAAGTTATTTAAGGATAGCATTCTCTTCTATTTTCTTGCTACTCTAAATGGCTGTTTTTCAAAATATATTTTGGCCTATGCGAAGTAGATAACATGATATCTCTGATACTAATGAGCCCATAGTGTCCACTAAGCTTGGTATACCTCACCTGCTTTTAAAAAAAATATTAGAAAAGATGAACAATGGAGAAATAGTATACTACACACAAAGAATTAATCTCTAGGTTAAGTTAAAATCTTAGCTGTTAAGCTCTACTGACTTCGTAGACACATTCTTATAATTTTCTTGGCAACACTACAGGATATTTGGCCTTTTTCCATTAAGTACCATAGCTAAAAATCTACTTAATTTTGTGAGATCAAGTGAAGTTGTCTAGATGGTGCCATCTACCTGGCCATCAGTCTCAAACATCCTGTTTATTTTCAAGAACAGGTCAAAGCCACCAGAAAGATCTAAAAAAAAAATCTAAAAAAGGGGGGGGGAAGGGAAATGAGGAGTGGTGGAGGCGGTGAGCGTTGTCATCACTTTGTCTTCGGGTAAACTGATGTTTTATAAATTAGCCATCACCACTATGGCAGCCATTGTGCAAAAAATGTGACTGTCTATGGCAGTCATTTTGCAAGAGGGTTCGTGTTTTAAGTTTTCCAAATATAGCCCCTGTTGTAAAAAGATTGCTTTCCCAGACATGACCAAAAACATTTATTTGGAAAACTTGACTAATATGGACAAACTTTATAGTCTTTGAAATATATTCCTCACAAACATTAGCAAAAAACCCACTTAATTTCTTGTAGTTAAGTGCCTAAAAAAGAATTACTGAACTCTCTCTATAGCCCTGTACCTTAATCAAAGACAACAGATAACTGTCTAGATCAGGTGTCAGTGTGCAGTAAGAAATGATAACAAATTATTAACTCTCTAGCAAACAAAGAAAATACTCATACTTCTTAGGCCATGAATGTACTGCTATGCTGCTGTTCAAGCATCTAAACAAAATGTGGAAAAACTGCTCAACCAGACAGTACATCAAATACCACAAAAGTGAGGAGTCCATGACCTTCTAGACACTGCTGAATTATAAACCAGCTCAAAATTGGCACTGATCAGAAGTAAGTGATGAGGAGAGCTGTAACTCAGTAATATCAGGATTGCCACAGATTCACAACTCTTGAAAGGATGAGATGCTTTGATTTTTAGAGGAAGGATACTTAAAGCTCTTGGACAATTTCTGATCTTTCCCACTATTACATCTTTCTGAATGAAGTAGTTTTTATTTTAAGCAACAAGGTACGTCTTATATTCAGAGATATCAGAAAAGGCTTTTATTAAACACATGTAATAATGATAGTTTGCAAAAAGCTTTTTGAGACTTTTAGTAAAGTCTCATTTCATCTCTTATTTCATTCCAATCTCAGCTGTGCACAACATATAGGACCATACAGAAGTGAAGTTCCCTTGATAATATTTCTTTCCTTTCTCATTCCCTTGATATTTTATCATTAATTTATATGTGTTAAAAAGCTTTGTTCTTTGAAATGCCAGACTTGCATAAAATTGTGCAAAGTTCTCACGCAACATCAGAATTAGCACCCCAAAGAAGTGCTAGACTGATAACTAATGCGAGGCATATTTTTGAATTACAGCTCCTTTGATCCCCCTTGGAAGAGGGGAAAGCGTTAAACAGTCCAAATAAAGTTGCTTTCCTGATAAAAGCATGTGTACATCTGGTTTCCTTATACCACTCAATACTAGAAACCAAGGGATTGCAAAACAATGTTCCCTTAAAAATACTCAGTATATTTCCTGAGTGATCAATGTGTCAACAAACTTTGGAAAAATTATGGATCTTTTATTTTTATGCCAAGATACTGAGGATAGGATTGCCTTGCCGGAACACCTCTGAACTTTTAATTCAAAAGTTTATATGAGCAATAATCTTTTTGTTACTACTTCCTTGGATTTTCAAGATTCATTGTAGACATACATATATGCTGCCTTTTGTATAGGAGCTCCAGAGAACATGGATAGAGTGCTTCTATTTTATTCCCCCAAACAACAACCCTGGGAGATATGAATTCAGAATACTTAGTCCAAAGTCACCCAGGGAGCTTCCAAGGCTGAAGGTGAAGTAAAACCTAGGTCTCTTTTCTTCTAGAATCAACAATTTAACCCCTGCATCGCACTCTATTAGATTATTACTCTGTTAGATGTCCCAGGATGGCTTATCTGGCGTAGTAGTCCTATGACATATCCAGCTTTCGCCGCATATTTTCAACTATATTTTGCATTACTCTCTCTCTTTCTCTCTCTCTCTCTCTATATATATATATATATATACATACACACAAAAAAAAAAACCACACACACAAAAACACACACAAACACCCCCCTTCTCCGCTCAGCGGACTGTAAACATTCCCGTCTCCGAACTCTCCCACTTCCCGCGCTGATGAAAGAGCCCGTCCACTGTTCCAACACCTCCCTCCCGCGCTGACGCAGAGAACAAACAATCAGCGGGGCCTCGAGCCCCGCCCCTCTCTCAACTTTCTCCGCGGGGAGAATTGGAGATAGCGGCTTCCTTTTGCACGGGCCGACCAATCGCGAGGCGGCGTGTCATTTCTCACCCAATCGGGAGCGGTGCTTTGGCGTCCGCCAGACGGAACGCCAGTTTCTGTGATGTCGCCGCTTGCCTTCGCCTTCATTGGTTGATGCTGGTCACGCCCTCCCCCCGTGTGTGGAGGCGGAGGGGACGGCCGCTCATCGTCTGTGTCTCCCGATCTGTTTACTCCTCGCGCGCTCGGCTCCCCAGCGGCGGCTGAGTGGGTGGCGGCGGCTGCAGCAGCTGAACCGGCGGCGCCGATCGGCAGCTGGGTCACCCCTCCCTTCCCCACAACATCTGCCGCCTTCGCCCTTCCGACGCAGAGCGAACGAGAGTTGCCCCGGGAGAGCCATGAAGACGGAGATTTCCACGGCCGCGGGCTTCATCACCCGCCTCCTCAGGACCCCCAGCGGCATCGACGACGAGGAGCTGCGTTGCTTCAGCGAGTCCCTCCAGGAGGCACTCCGAGGTGAGGCGGCGGCGGCGAGAGACGGCCGTTTCCCCCCCCCACCTCCCCAATTTCCGTCTCTTGCCTCAGCACCGCCCCCGCCGCCGGGACGAGCGAGACGGAGCCCGGCGCCCCTCAGCCGCTGGCACTGCTGCACTGAACCCCAAAATGACGTCCGTCCGTCCCGTCCGCGGCGCGACAGCAACCTCCTCGAGGCGCCTCTACCGGGGACGCAAGTTCCCCGTATCCCGCCACCTTTGCGGCCCTCGGGTCTCTTGCCCTTTCGCGGTCGGCGTCCCTGCAGCTCTTAAGCAGCTTCGGGTTCCGTCCGCGCTGGACTACCTCCCCCACCCCCACCCTCAAGCCCTCCTATCGTTGGCGAGACCCTCCTCGGCATCGGAGCTTTGCCAAACGGCTTCTTCTGATCGACGGGATCGGTTCTTGCAACCCTCCGTCCCATCCCTGTTTGCGATCCCCTGCCGGGGTGGGCGATGATCTGGTTGGGCTGATTCCGGAGTATCCCAGGGCCGGCTGTGCGAGTTGTAACTCTTCTCCCGTTTTGTTCTCCCTCCCTCTCTTGGCAGATCATTATAAGCACCACTGGTTCCCCTTGATGCCCTCCAAAGGCTCTGGGTATCGCTGCATTAGGATCAATCACAAGATGGACCCCTTGATAGGCAAGGCAGCAGGCATGATTGGACTAAGCCACGAGAGACTCTTCCAGCTCCTGCCCAGCGAACTAACTCTCTGGGTAGACCCGTTTGAAGTGTCCTATCGTATAGGAGAAGATGGGTCTATCTGCGTCCTCTATGAAGGCCCTAAACCAGCCATGAAGAATGCCAAAGCTCTGGAGAGCAGAAGCAGCTGTAAAGAGGAGTGGAGAATTGGCAGAGCCAGCCCTTCCAAGAACTACAACATGATGACAGTTTCCAGTTAAAACAAAAAACAAAAACATTCCCTGTACAATGATGTATGTATGTATCCCACTTTGATAATGATGTTAGATGATGTAATTGATATGTTGATTTTCACCCCATAGTCATTAAAGTTGTCGTACTACTGCCAAACTCTTTGTTTTGTGGCCAAGGGCTAATGTATAAAAAACAGTTCTTTTACATGTTTTCTGGATTGTATACTGTAAATGAAATTGTACAGTCAATGCAATTGTTTTACAGATTTATATTTTGGAAAAAAAATCCTTGGCTATTTGTAATAAAAATGAAATTAATTTCATTTATTTTTTATTTTTATAATGCCTTTTACTTTACAATAGCGTTCCTTCATCATCATTGCACTTCTTGAGCAATAACATGGGGGTGGACATAAGAAAAAAAGAGAGAGTGGGATGTAGTTGGGCATTATACACTTTAATAAGAGGGATTTTTAAAACTTAACCAGTAATTTGGCTGCACAAACCATTGTATTTGGGGATATAAACATTGCTGTACAAAACAAGTATACTATGATTAAATATCCAGAATACTTTTTTAAAGTTCTCCCAAAGTTATCAAGCATGGAATTTGAGTATTGTACAAATTTGCTGAATGGTTTATTCTTGCCACTTTGGTCAAAAATCTATTAAACGTTTTAATGTTTTAATATATCCAATATATATTAAATTTAACGATTATTCAAGCCTTCAAAATATAATTGTGAATGCTTTCTTGGGATTAAATTGTCTAAAAGTTTGTTTTGATCCAAAAGTCTAATTTAGAATTATTTATGAAATATCAATCTCCTTTCCAATCCTGATGACACTTAGAAGCTTACATAAATGGAATTATGCTCCATTCATGTCAATTAAAAGGATTCTCAAAGCAGTTGTGATTTCACTTCAAATAGGTCGATTTGATAGCACATTTTAATCCAGTATTTAAATCTATTTACCTACTCTCTGTTTCTGTGATATTTAAAAATGTTTGCTACTGATCTACTCAAAATGAAATTTAAAAAGAACCTCACGTGTTTTTAGAATCCCAAAAGCTATTTTAAAAAACTCTCCTAAGGCCTTTGTCATTCCAAGTAGAGTTTGGTTTTGTATGTAATGAATACAAGCATTGTAGGTTGTTAAACACTCTAAGCTATCTTAATATGTCACATTACCAAGGCAAAAGGTGCAGTTAAGGAACAAGTCTGGGCAGATTCAAAGTGACACGTATAATGAATTGAAAGAGTGGAATCTCAATTGTTTTATAATTCAGTAAATAGAAACTCTGTTTAAAATGAAGATTTCTAATGAAAACAGTTTATTAAACTGCGTACCGATTTGAAATATATTATGAATATATTAAAATCATTTTAACTTAAAGATATATTGAGATTTTTTTCCCATTCAGTTGTGATAAGTTCTCAGACACTGCCTGGACAAGTCTTTGCAGTTTGCTTGGTGAATTGTTTTCAGAAGTGGTGTGCCATTTTCACCTTTCTAGGGCTGAGAGAAAGCCCAAGGTCACCTAGTTGGCTTTATTTATTTCTCACCCTTCATGCCCTCAATAGGACACCCATGATTGCTATAATTGAATCTTATCAACCTACATTATACAGCATAAATGAAAATATATTCTCCCAAAGTTTTGTGGTAGGAACCCAGAACAACATAAAATCCCAGAATTAAAACTCCAGAGAAAGGATTATATATATATATATAAATAAATAAAAGGGAAATCTACAAAGTATTGTAAACCAGGTGGGTAGAGATAAATCTAAATTGTCAGCATTATATATTTGTGCTTGGAAGAATACTGCTTTTTTCTTTCCTCTTTCATCCCACCCTGCAGTTACTGTATATTGTTCCAAAACTTGAACTTTACAGAACATGTATTAGCTATTAAAATCATTCACAAAGATTTTTGGAAGATAAAAGATTAATATATCAAGAACATTAGTTTGAATGTATTGGTGTTTGTTCATAGTATGCCAGTAACATGCATGCCAAAATGCTCTAAATAAATCATTGAAATATTTCTGAAAATTAGCCTGCCAAGGGGCTAGCAATATTATTGTGCTTGCCATGGAGAAAAAGAACCCCTATTTTCTGATGTCAGGCTGGAAAATTCAGGCTAGCATTTTCTTAGCAGTCTACTTAGGGAAAAATGGCTTTCTGCATAGCTCAGTCAGCTTGGTTTTCCTGCTAGTAATGGAGGACACTTGAACAGTTCATATAGTGGAGTGTATTTCCTAGTCACCCATAAGCTACCAGGTGTGAAGTTTAATATAAGTGTATAGAGATTTTATATCAATCATATATACAGTATACATATATACTAGGGATTTTTAGTCTTGATTTTCTTTTGCTAACTTAAGTCAAAGGTTATTTTACTTGGTTTCTAACATGTAATTTCTGAGCCACAGTGTATTATTCATACTAATACATAATTCTTCATATTTCAAACGCTATTTGACTCCTTAGATATGTAATACAAGACTGGAACTTACCTGTCCTGTGGCTTGTTTGCTGACCTACCTCTCAGTAGCCCCTCTTGACCCATGACATCTACTTCTGAACAAACTTGGGTGTAAAAACGTCTATTACCAATTTCATGGTGCCAAAATTATTTTGCCACTATAATTTCACATGTAACTGCACTCAAATACTTTTGGTTATTTGGAAACATGGATTTAAATAATGCATTATTACTAAAATGTAATTTAGAAAGTGTATTCAATAAGAGACACGCAGCACAGTCTAATAACCATGTTTACACCTAATGCATGTAGAATGATAAACATTGTGAGAAAAAGGAAATGCTACTGTACATTGGAGCCCAAACTGTTCTAAATATTTGCTTGGGGTCCAACTTCCCTCTTTTGTCTGTCTTGCTCTACCTGCCCCAGATGTCAGAGTAAGCAAGAAAAGAAACATAAAAGGCTGCTTTCTGCAGTGTAAAAAACCATATTTAAAATAGGAGGTTACTTTCACTTTAATAGGTCTTTTGAAAGTATGAGAAAAAGAAAAAACCTCCACACATAATAGGGAGTGATGCAATGTTAAGTCCAAAGGGAAAAAAAAAGGTGTACCTGGAAGCAAAATGTTTTCATATTGAAAAAAACATGCTTGATTATTTTGTATTCTTCCATAACAGGTATACCCAGGTGTACTTGAATTATAATGTCAGTCACTTGAATGATACTGTACTTGAATGATAATAATGGAAGCTTCCAAGAAAAATGGCTTCCAAGGCTTACAGATAACAAGTTACAATAACATAAATATTATTCATATGAAAGCTATAATTAAAAATGCAGTATACAAACAGTAAAACTAATCATTTAGCAAATTTAGTAAAAGAAAACCATATAATATTAAAAAGGTCTGGAAGAATAAAAGGTTTTGTATTGGTGGTAGAAAAATGGCATGCTTCACCTGGGAGGGGGGAGGGGGGAGAGTGACATGGCAAGATGTGTATGTGAGGCAATGAATGACCCTTCCTTGACAAAGAGGCAGATACAGTAGGGCCCCAAAGAAGGGCCTTTTTCAACCCTGGCAAGTTTAGGGTGTGTGGACTTTAATTCCCAGAATTCACCTGCTGGAATCCAGGAGTACCTCAGTAAGATGGGACCCAAATATGAGCTGTTGAGAGAAAGCCTGAGACAGCAGCAGACATGGAAGGAAAGTCAGGCAAAGGAAGTGTCATGGCAAGTCAAGACCTTGGATTGAGAGACAGCTGAGACAATTGACATTGGGAAATCCTACCAGTGGCTGGACTAAAAGAGAGAGCTGAGGTACTGATCATATTAGCAGAAGAACAGACACTAAGCATGCCATAGAAGAAGGAGGTCTACCACAATGGATAGGACCTGAGGTAGACTATGCAGAGAGGCCTCAGAGGAGTCCAACACATAATGGAAGAGTGTAAAAGGCAGACAGGAACAGCATATATTGAATGGTATAATCAAGTAGCTGGCATTATATACAGAAAAACCGTGTATGGACTTGACCCTGTTAAGTCCACATGGGAGATTCCATAGAAAGTTGTAGAGAATAACTTTCTTGCTAAGATCTTGTGGGACTTCCAGATCCAGACAGACAAGCAGATACTGGCCCATGAACCAGACTTCACAATAGTAGACAAGGACCAGAAGAGAGGAGTGATGATAGACATAACAGTGTCAAATGACAGCAACATCAGGAAGGAATATGAAAAGCTGAAGAATACTGAAGGAGGAACTAGAGAGGATATGGAAAGTAAATGTCAAAATGGTCCCAATTCTTGTAGGAGCACTTGGGACTGTGACTTCTATGCTGGAAGAGTGGGTCCAACAAATCCCAAGAACAACATCAGATCCAGGCATGATATTCTTCCGATTAAAATCGGAATTCCGATTTTTTGGGGAATCGCCCCCTCCTTTCCCCCCACCCCTTCTTCTCCTCCTTCCCCTCCCCTCGGAGGCCCCGAGTCAGGAGTTGCTGGCGCGGCTCCGTGCGGCTCCAGTCCCGCGTTGCCTCAGGAAGGGAAAGGCAAAAAGAAAGAGCCGCGGCGGCGCTTTGCAACAGCAGCAGCGGCTTCTGGTTTTGCCTTTCCCTTCCCGAGGCAACGCGGGACTGGAGCCGCGTGGAGCTGTGCCGGCGGTAGCAACTCCTGACAGCCCCAGCCGGATACCTGAGCGGAGCCCGGGCGGTGTGAGCGGAGGCCGCTGAGCGGCAGGAAAAGGGAGCTGGGCCAGCCACAGACCAGCCTCCGTGCAACACGCCGCCGCCCGGCCCTGGCAAGGGAAGGCAGCGGGCGCTCCCCAAGCGCGCGGCGGGGGGTCTCTTTTGGCCGGCCCCGATTTTTTTTTCAGAGCGGAATATCATGCCTGATCAGATCTCTTTGTCCAGACAAGTACAGTGCTAGGAACAACTAAGACAGGGGTCCCCAATCCCTAGGCTGCGGCCTACCATGTGGCGTATTCGTAATTGGGTTGCGTGACTGGCGAGCTGGAGCACATGTACATGCACACAACACAACTTCTGTGAGTGGTGGGTCAGGGTGGGCACTTGCATGTGCTGGTCCACACATACATGGCCCAGTTCCCCTCTCCCCATGTGTGTGTGTGTGTGTGTGTGTGTGTGTGGTGTGTGATGTGCAGGGGTGGGATTCTACCGGTTCTGTCCACCTCTGTAGAACTGGTTGTTCTGAAGAGCAGCAGACATAGAACCAGTTCTATGTCTGCTGCTGTTTTGGGCCACCTACCCGCCGGGGCTCTTACCTGTCCTTTATTTCCTGCTTTTTCAACCTCAGCTGCTTTGTGCAGCACGGCTGCGGTTGAAAAAGCAGGAAAAAAGGGCTTTCCAGCCACTGCGCACCCGCACACAGCACTGCTCACTGTCCGGGCAGCTCAGCAGGTTGTAAATTGCACATATGCGTGCAATGCAGAGCAATAGAACTGGTAGTTATACTGGTCGGATCCCATCCCTGGTGGTGTGCGTGTGTGTGTGTTTGTGTGTGTGTGTGTGTGTGTGTGAGAGAGAGAGAGAGACTGCATTGTCTCCACTTAGAGACATACAACCTACTCTCTAATAAACAATTTGGTTTCAGAAAAAAAACTATCCTGTAATCTACAACTCTTACACTGCAAAAACATATGGACTACACAACTCGATCAGGGCAAAACAATAGACGCAATCTACATAGACTTCTGTAAAGCCTTTGATTCAGTGGTACACGACAAACTACTCCTAAAACTAAAATCTTACGGTATCTCTGGACACCTGCATAACTGGATAGAAGCATTCCTGTCAAACAGACAACAAATGGTCAAAATTGGGAGTGTCCTATCAAATTCTGTACCTGTCAATAGTGGTGTCCCCCAAGGCAGTGTTCTAGGACCAACTCTCTTCATACTCTACATAAATGACCTCTGTAATCATATTAAGCGCAACTGCGTCCTCTTCGCTGATGATGTAAAGCTGTTCAATACCACAGACAATACTGCTACCATTCAAAAAGATCTTGACTATGTATCAGAATGGTCAAACAAATGGCAACTTCAAATCTCAACAAATAAATGCTCTGTCTTACATATTGGCAAAAAAAATCAGAAAATAAAATACAGGCTGAATAGTCAAGACCTTGTTGATGATCCAAGCTCTGTAAAGGATCTTGGAATACTCATCTCTAATGACCTAAGTGCTAGAGCCCACTGTAACTACATAGCCAAAAAGGCATTAAGAGTTGTTAACCTAATCCTACGTAGCTTTTTCTCTGGTAATATCACACTACTAACTAGAACATACAAATCATTTTCTAGACCAATGCTCGAATACAGCTCATTTCGTATCTGATATTAGCACAGTTGAGAAAGTCCAGAAATATTTCACAAGAAGAGTTCTCCACTCCTCTACTCGTTGTAGAATACCTTATGCCACCAGACTTGAAATTCTAGACCTAGAAAACCTCGAATTACGCCGTCTTCGATCTGATCTAAGTATAGTATATAAAATCATACATTGCAATGACTTACCTGTCAATGAATACTTCAGCTTCAAACATAACTACACAAGAGCACACAATGGATACAAACTCAAGGTAAACCACACCAAACTTGATTGCAGGAAATATGACTTCAGCAACAGGGTGGTCAATGTCTGGAATACTCTACCCGACTCTGTAGTTTCTTCCCCAAACCCCAAAAACTTTAGACTGTCTACTATTGACCT